ACCGAGACCCTCCGTGGAGCGGTCTTAGGGTAGCTACACGCTGATAATACTACCCTGATGAGTTTGGCACACAGACAATGAAAGTCCATCTCCCGGGTATCTCTCTTTCAAGATCAGTTCGTACCCCCAGCCTGATAGTATAACTCATCGGCATAATTACCGAATCAACCTATTGTGTGTTGGCATGACTTTCCAGGTATAACGTCGTCACCATCAGACGAAAATGTTTCCTTCTGAGGGCTCAACGTCTTGTTAGCACTCTCAAGAGTCGCACGTTTTGAGCTACGCATTTGTGAGCGTAGAATCTCAACGGGCTCTTGGATAATGACTCGCAGTCCGAGGTGCCCAGTTATAGAAGCTTTCCCATCATAGGAAGGCTCTAACTTGTTGCAAGGACGAGTGCGACCCCAAGTTCGATGAGTTGCTCGGGGTTCATTCATCGTGCCCAAGCGTTCTTTGACTGGAGCTTTGTCTCGATTCTCGTGTAAAGGAACAAGGTGGTACACCCTTGCTTTCCTACTTCTGAACAAGTCTACACTGCCACGAGGCTTCACTGGAAGTATTGGATCAATCAGAGCAGGGGCAAAACTCAACGGAATCAGAAAAATAGGTGCAGGGTGTCTCCTATCTCGACCTTAGTGCGGGTCAGACACTGGTGATCCGTGACTGGGAGGGTCAGACTTGAGTGACCCATGGCTTGGAGGGTCAGACCTGAGTGACCCATGGCTTGGAGGGTTGGATTTGAGTGACCCGCGGTTGTGAGGGTCAAACATGAGTGACCCGCTGCTTGGAGGGTCAGACCTGAGTGACCCGCAGCTTGGAGGGTCAGACTTGAGTGACCTGCGGCTTGGATGGTCAGACATGAGTAACCCGCGGCTAGGAGGGTCAGACCTGAGTGACCCATGGCTTGGAGGGTTAGACTTGAGTGACCCGCGGTTTGGAGGGTCAGACTTGAGTGACCCACGGCTTGGAGGGTCAGACATGAGTGACCCATGGCTAGGATGGTCAGACTTGAGTGACCCGTGCCTTGGAGGGTCAAACCTGAGTGACCCGCAATTTTTGATCTTTTCGGCCGCTGTCTTGGACTTTGGCCTCCAGGTTTGATACAGTCTTGGTTGTTTCTTGGCTATGTCCTTCTTCTGCATCTTTTGTGCCTTTTGCACAAGAATTCACGCGTGTGCAAGCATTGCGCGGCGATTCTGGATTTGCTCCTCAAGAGTTGAACAGATCCTTTTGACTTGGATCCATTCGCTTGTTAATGATTTGGAGGAGGGGGTGTTTGCTCGCTGTTGGGGCGCTTGACGCTTCCTGAACTATAGATCCGACTTGTAACAGATCCCGTTGATTGGCTCCAAAGCTTTGGCGAGATGGAGCGCGAGGCGTTGACGTTGCCTTTGACGTGACCTCTTCGATAAGATTGGCGCGCCTTTAGTACTCAACTCCTTGATTGAGGAGGAATCCAGATCTGCAGATCCGGCCTTGTTGAAGGCCGGAGAGGCGTTACAAGGTGCCGCTACCGTAGCAACGGGGGCGTTGATCTTCCTGTGCTTGCGAGTGGAGGAGGATCTGGAGGAGGAGAACGACAGATACTCCTCGAACTTCTGTTGGTCGATCACGTACTCAACATCTTCTTTAATCGGGATCCGGATCCGAGGTTGCGGCACATCAGCCTTCGCAGAAAGGCTGTTGGCTCCCACTGTGGTCGCCAACGTGTTTGGGTCAAAAGTTAATGTTTTCATTACCTTCGAATCTATTACAACTTTGGTCATTATGATACACTCAAATAAACGAGAAAAGTAGATCTTTTTATAAGATCGACTTATACAATAAAAATATAAAATAGTACAACTCTTGTCAAACAGCGTAACAGACGCTTATCACCCGCTGCTTGCATAGGAACTTTGCCTGTACCGGGGATGTTAATATCCGTGGACCATCGCGAATCAGATCCGGTTGACAGATTAAGTTAATTGAAGCGCTTACTTCACGAAGGAAGTAATCGCTGCAGCGGTAATCCCGACCAAGCGAGATTACGACTATTCTCGAGATTAAGACTAAGCTTAAATCTGGAGGAAAAGGGGACATGTCTCAGATCTCTCGAACTCCACTCCTTATGCACAGGAATTCGCCAAGATCTACTAACCCTCACTGTAAATTCGTGGATCCACTCTCCAATTCGGCGGTGCTTCGCCATCTTGATGCCCGCCCTGTGAAATGAGTCCCTAGGCCTATATTTATAGGCTTCGGTTGGGGGTATTTGGATAAGAATAAGCGATTTGGCCTTATCTTCAGTCAATAACGACCTAACCACATTTGTGGATGATATCAAGTCAGTTGGGAACCCCTGGAATAGATAAATCCTGAGAAAAATGTAAAAAACCATCAAAAATGTGTTTTGGCAGATCTGGACGCAAGACAGACCGTGGTGACCCGCGCGGCCCGGGTCACCAGGCCGCGGGTCACCCTCAGGTGACCCGCGCGGTCGCGGGTCACCAGGCGGTGTCCCGCATGAGCGCGGGCTCCGAGCTTTTTTTAACGTTTTTGATGTTTCCCGAATGTCCCGGACTTGTATTTTCTACCATTTTGCATATTTGGTCGTCTTGTTGACTTGCACGCATCGTTAACTTGCTTCATGCGCTCGTTAGCTTCTTTACGGTACTTGAATCTGACCGACAAGCGCGTCGGGCACTTTGGATCTGACCGACAAGCACGTCAAGTACTTTGGATCTGACCGACAAGCATGTCGGGTACTTTGAATCTGACCAACGCGCGCGAGCTGACTGACGAGTGCGTCTGGTCACTTGTGACTGACTGACGTGCGCGAGCTAACTGACGCGCGTGGGCTGATCGACAGGTGTGACGGCCTTGGAGTTGGCCGGTGAGCGCACGAGACACAGTTGGTTCGCCATTCTGGTTCATGCATTTGTCAGCATCAGATAATCCTCTTAGACTCGGATAATGACGTTCGTCATCCTCCGTCTCGAGCTGTGGGTGGACATCTATAGGCATTTTTAGACGCCTACATATATTGAAAAAATTTTATGTCAACTTAAGTGGACCATCCACCAAACTTTCAATCCATTAATGCTACCTAGGGATCCTGTAAGACTATGAAGAACGACTTTAATATATATATATATATATATATATTAATATTATATATATATATATATTATATATTAGTATATATATATATCATATAATATATTATATATATATATATATTACTATATATATATATATATATATATATATATATATTATAATATATATATATATATATATATATATATATATATATATATATATATATATTATATATATATATATATATATATATATATAATATATATATAATATATATAGAGGAATATGGTATATGCTTGTAACCCAAGCACAAAAAAGTTATGCTTGTAGTGATGTGGTCACATGCTCCCTCAACTCATTCAAAAATGTGGACCACATTCACATGGGGTAATGAGTGGATGAGGATTGAGCACAAATCAACTACCAAGCACGCAAATTTGTGCTTGCTACCAAGCATTACCATATTTTTCATATATAGTATGTATATATATATATATGATATATATATAATGTATATATATAAATATATATATATATATATATATATATATATATATATATATATATATATGAGAGAAATGAGTATGCTTGGTACCAAACACAAATTTAGTGCTTGGTAGTGAGGTGTCATATTCACATCCACTCATTCTAATTCTCAACCACTCCCCAACTTATGTGAATGTGGGCCTCGATTTCAATGAATGGAGGAGAATATGTCACATCACTATAAAACATAAAAACTTGTGCTTAGAACCAAGCATACCTATTTTTCTATATATATATATATATGAGTGGATAAAAAGTTTCATGAAAATATACCTCTTGTCTACTTAGGGGCTGTTTGGTTGGGGTTTTTTTTTGGAAAACTGCAGTTATGGCACAAAAAGCAACTTTTAGGGCTTTTTTGGATTCCAAAAACCGCGTTTGTTTCCCACTTTTTTTAGGAAAAGGATTGCCAAAATACTGACAAACTGTAGCTTTTTTTGGACACTCCATTTCCACTATTTTTGAGTAGAATTGGGCTGGAAATCTGACACAACACTTCCAGCTCAGCGTTTCCTTTTCTCTTCACTCGAAGAACTTGGACCCGTTATTGATACCCTCACCGCCTCATCTTAATGTGCCTCTTCTCTTCTACCTTTCCCTCCTCCGTTTCGCGCCGATTCAAGAGAAAAATTAGGTAGCCGAGGCATCAATCGGTGGCAAATCGATCTAGAATGGTTGATTAGCTCCCTGCTGGGACACCTCGAACGCACGTAGCCCTTGATTTCTAAAGGAATTTTCTGATGTTGGGGTTTTACAAGTCTGCGATTTTCTGATGATGTGGCTTTTCATAGTGCATGTCGCCTTCGTTGATGGAGGTGATCTTCTCTGATCCACTTGTAACCGAAACTCCTCCCTGATCTGAACTTCAGATCTGCCGCCTCGATCTCTGGTTTAGGGGTTCAAGTTCCTTCTCTGATCATTAGGGTCTACTCCACACCGACGATAAGGTATAGCCTTCAGTTCCCTAATTTATTAATTTTATATGATTTTAATAAATTTTCACTATTTACTTAATATAGGTAGGCAATTATAGAAGAGTCTGAGTTCCAATATTATGATGAAAAACTGAGTATATTTACGGCATAGTTTACTCCCCAGAATTTTTTGAAATGTCAATTTTGTTTTCTATACTTACATAATTTAGATGTTTATCTTTGCTTGCTTATGTCCTTCGTGTATATGAAGGCTAGCTCAAAATATTGGCACAGTTTAATTTTATTTAGAATATGAGATCGTGGTTGATTTAAGAAGAAATTATGTGTAGTTATATAATTTTACTATACTGAATATCCACTAAAAGTATTAGAATTAAAAATTCGATCCCATTATTTGTCTATGCATAAGAATGTATTTTGCACCCATTGTAGATGGAAGATATTGTTGACAAAGCGTTAATGAGGATATCGAGTAATGCTACTATGTCTGCCATCGCCACTGTGTTGACATGTGTAATGAGAATGCGTTGTAGAAGAAAATCTGTCACCTATCACCATGGGGAGGGGAAAAAACAGAAAATAGAGTCTAGGGATGCCCACATATGCCGTGTATTTTCTGGCTATAGTCACAGCTGTAGAGACTATATTAGAATGCGGCCTCATGCATTTGAAAATCTTGTCAGTATAATGAGAGGGTCCGGCCTACTACGGGATTCACGTGATGTAAAAGTTGAAGAACAGTTGCTCATGTTTCTTAATGTATTAGGACATAAAACAAAAAATAGAATTGTAAGATCACATTTCATAAGATCGGGAGAAACAATTTCTAGATATTTTAACAAATGCCTAGAAGCAGTTGGTTGTATACGGGGGCGGTTCTTGAAGCAAGCACCAATGGAATTAGCGCCAGAGATTGCAAGCAATCATTTATACTATCCTTATTTCAAGGTAATACACTCATGAACATACAGTGATCTACAGAAGTAAAATTGTTATCCTATTGTTTAATAGTCAATTTGTAAAATTATATAGGATTGCATTGGCATGATAGACGGGACCCACATTGACGCTATGCTTCCTGCTAGCCTTGTGGCCCGCTTTAGAGGCCGTAAAGGTGTGACTCAAAATGTTCTAGCCGCCTGCACCCCAAATAAGTTATTTTCATATGTTCTCGCCGGTTGGGAGGGGTCTGCAAATGATTATAGAGTACTACAAGATGCACTTTCAAGACCTCAACCTCATGGCCTGAGAGTCTACGATGGTAATTACTCGTTAATGACAAAAATGGATATTCAATTGTAATTTACAAAGAATTTAATTATTTACGATAATGTGTTGTTTAAAATTGTAGGCAAATATTATTTGTGCGATGCGGGGTACACCACCATGCCTGGCTTCATCTCCCCTTATCGTGGTGTACGTTACCATTTAAATGAGCACAGGGGTAGGCCAATAAATAACAGAAGAGAGTTATTCAATCTAAGACATTCCTCGCTACGGTCTAAAATTGAATCAACCTTTGGATTGTTGAAGAATCGTTTCAAAATCCTCACTGCAAAGCCACATTATCCTTTTCCAACCCAAGTTGACATAGTATTGGCTTGTGCTATACTTCATAACTACATTGCTATAGTCGACCTGGGCGATGACTTATTAAATGAGGACATTACCATTGATGATGACGATGTAGAAATAGCTACTGAGGGGGAAGATGCCAATCTTGTTGACTTTTCTCAAAATGTAACACAAAGAGAAGAAAGAGATTCAAGGAATGAATGGAAAGAGAAGAGGGATGACATTGCAAGTGCTATGTGGCTAGACTATTGTAATAAATATCGTGGTGGGGACACAACCGAAATTGGCTTGTAATTGACATTTTTATATTTCCAGAATTGTTGTATTTCTTAAGTTTGTCGTCGGGACTGGTTGTATTTATTAAGTTTGTTAATGGTGGCTTGATTTTATCTTTACATTATGTGCCTTTGGTCTAACATGATCTTTGTTCTTCATATTTTCACCATGTGATTTTATTATAACAGGTCCTTCATCCTTTTAAGTATGGCCGAGTTTGATGATAGAAATGATGATTGTGATGCCACTCCCTCCCCTAAAACCCCTCCAGCTCCTCCTTCAAACTTGAACATGAACTTCATGTCATTCCCTCGTGCACCATTCTCTGCTCCCCCCCACCCCCTCCATTTCCATCTTTCTGTCCTTACGACGGTAATTTTGCATATATGACTCAACAACCTACGTCTTACATGAACATGCTTACTAGCCACCATACATTCCATGCAACCCCTAGCCCACATAACAGTAATTGTCAATCTGGAGAGAGTCGTTCGACTAAGAGGGTTAATGAAGTTGATGCTGAGGCAATATCGCCATCCCGGAAAAAGAAGAAAGTAGCTGCTAAAAGAAGATTGGCGTCAACAATTACAGACAAGCCTCCCAACACTAGGGGTGTGCCTAACATGTATTGGAATGCCAGACATGATGATGTTCTAATCCCTGTTCTTGCTCAATTGGCAAGAGATGGCCTTAAGGTTGATAAAAATTTTAAAATGCATGCATACAAAGTGGCCGCAGATGAAGTTAACAAGAAATGTGGAACTGGATTCACAAAGGAGAATGTGATGAACCATATGAAGAGCTTGAAGAGAAAGTTTTTTGATATGCGAACTGTGGTGAACATGAGCGGGGCTGGATTTGATCCGACATCAAAAATAGTGACCATGGATCCAGATTCATTTGATATGTGGACAAAGGTATCGATTGGTACTGGCTATATTTATCTTTCATTATTTGCGTACAATTTTATGTAGTGAGCAATTTTTTCTTAAATTTAGTTATTACATAGGACAATAAGTGCAATAGCTCAAAGTTTAAGGAGTACTTGAACACGCCTCTAACGCACTACGAAGATTTTTGTATGATTGTTGGTGATGACCAAGCAAGGGGAAATTATGCCAAAGATGTGAGTAAGAAACTTGGTAATAGTCGGCCTAATCCACTTTTTGAGGATCCGATCAATCTTTGTGAAAATGATGATATTGAGGCCTCAAAGTCACAATTTGAGGCTGAGACACCAAGTGTTGAAAGGCTTGACCCTCACTCTCAAAATGTGAAGTCGGCTAGCGGGGTAACTTCTACATCCAATGCCAAACCTCATTCAAAAAGGAAGGGTGGCAAGGGAAAAGAGGATGATTCACTAATGCGTGAACTCATCGAGTCCATGTTCCACTCAATCCAAAACCAACATATTTTACATTGGACTGATCGCATGGCCAAGGCTTTATCCGCACATGCAGCTGATTTCTCTGAGACAATACTGGATAAGGTGCTGGATTTTCTATATGACAATGAATCAGAATCTAGGCGGTTCATTATCAAGTCGAAAAATGCGCAGAAACTAATCTTTGAGAAGATTATACGCGAAAATGGATTTGCCACCAATGATTTGCCGTAGTGGACACTATATTGGGTAATGGATTAGTTTCCTACCTACTTTTGCACTATTATAGCCGTATTTATAATCAAGTGAACATGTTATAATCTTGTAATATTGTGAGACAACACATTTACTTTATGTTCATGAAGCAGCAGCGACCTATCATGTTTCTTACTCCTGTCTTGGCTCATGTTATTTTTGTTGAGTTGTATTACCAAGTCTAAGCTGTTATTTTTGGTTGAGTTATATTTTTCAATAAGTTACTAAGCTTATAACATAAAAAGACAATGAGAAGCTGTTATTTTTGGTTGAGTTATATTTTTCAATAAGTTACTAAGCTTATAACATAAAAAGACAATGAGGAACTGAATTTATAAGTTACTAAGCTTATAACATAAAAAGACAATGAGGAACTGAATTTATATATTGTATTACCAGGTCTGAAGTAACTGCTACCTCATCTGTGTACAGGTTATAATGATTCGCATAAGTTACTCAGGGTTTTTTCAATAGGCAATGAGGATTGCTCATGTTATTTGTTAATGCAGCCTATACTGAGTAATTGTATTGGTCTGGATAAGGCTTACCATGATGAGATTACAATCTAGATTGCTAATGTGATTTTTAGGTGAGGCAACTATTATGCGTAGGCAATCCTCAATGCAATTACAATATGTAGGCGAGGCATCGTATACTGATAATATAGCTATAATCTGAGCCTTGTATGCCATTGCTATCTTAGATTTATTTGACTTTTTAAGTTGTGCCTCAATTTTCAGCTTTGCTAGGTTTTTTTTCTTGCTTCAGTTGCTGGTTGTGCATCTGAGCTTTGTATGCCATTGCTTCACTTATATTATTCAGCTTTTTGTGCTGAGTTTTGCATGAGTTGTTTTTCCTTGCTTTAGTTTCTAGTTCTGCTTCACTTTGATATGCTTCAGTTCCCAGCTGTGCACTACATTGCTTAGCTAAAAATTTCAGCTGAGTTGTTGCAGTTGCTCCTGTCTTCAGCTTTGCTGACTTTTTCCTTTGCACTCAGTTTTTAGCTTTGCATCACTATTTATCTGGGTTTAGAGTATTTTTATGTACAAGTTATAACTATGTATATAAGTTAGTTTGGATTTTGTTTTTATTTGTTCTAGTATTACCTAGCTGAGTTTTGCTGAGTTGTTTTTCCCTACTTCAGTTCTCAGAGTTGCTGTTTGTGTTGAGTTGTTATTTCAATAGGCAATGAGGATTGCTCATGTTATTTGTTGATGAAGCCTATACTGAGTAATTGTATTGGTCAGGATAAGGCTTACCATGATGAGATTGCAATCTAGATTGCTAATGTGAGTTTTAGGTGAGGCAACTGTTATGCGTAGGCAATCCTCAATGCAATTACAATATGTAGGCGATGCATCATATACTGATAATATAGCTATAATATGAGCCTTGTATGCCACTGCTATCTTCGATTTATTTGACTTTTTAAGCTGTGCCTCAATTTTCAGCTTTGCTAGGTTTTTTTCTTGCTTCAGTTTCCAGATGTGCATCTGAGCTTTGTATGTCATTGCTTCACTTATATTATTCACCTTTTTGTGCTGAGTTTTGCATGAGTTGTTTTTCCTTGCTTCAGTTTCCAGCTCTGCTTCACTCTGATATGCTTCAGTTCCCAGCTAAAAATTTCAGCTGAGTTGTTGTAGTTGCTCCTGTCTTCAGCTTTGCTGAGTTTTTCCTTTGCACTTAGTTTTCAGCTTTGCATCACTATTTATCTGGGTTTAGAGTATTTTTATGTACAAGTTATAACTATGTACATAAGTTAGTTTGGATTTTGTTTTTATTTGTTCCAGTATTACCTAGCTGAGTTTTGCTGAGTTGTTTTTCCCTGCTTCAGTTCTCAGAGTTTCTGTTTGTGCTGAGTTGTTATTTCAATAGGCAATGAGGAACTCTGAGAACTGATGAGATTGCAATCTGTGCTGAGTTGTTCATACCGCAGTAATTCCCTGCTTTAGTTCTCAGAGTTTTTGTTTGTGCTGAGTTGATGCAGCCTATTGATATATTTGTTGAGTCTGTTTCCAGCTACTATTTCCAGCTCTGCTTCACTTTGATTTGCTTCAGTTCCCAGCTGTGCATCACTTTGCTTAGCTAAAAATCCCAGCTGAGTTGTTGCAGTTGCTCCTGTCTTCAGGTTTGCTGAGTTTTTCTTTTGCACTCAGTTTTCAGCTTTGCATCACTATTTATCTGGGTTTAGAGTTTTTTTATGTACATGTTATAACTATGTACATAAGTTAGTTTGGATGTAGTTTTTATTTTTGTTCCAGTATTCATCTGTGATTTGCTGAGGCATATACTCCATGGATTGCCTCCATAAATTTCATTTCAGTATTCATCTGTGATTTGCTGAGGCATATACTCCATGGATTGCCTCCATAAATTTCATTTCATACCACATTACACTTTGCAACTACATGGCATGGATTGCCTCCATAAATTTCATTTCATACCACATTACACTTTGCAACTACATGGCATATTTTCAAAGCTAAAGATGAGTACACAGATTATAACTAAGAACAATACAATCATTTTTCAAATGATTAGTTGATGCTCTGCAGTTTTCAATTCCCTCTTCAGCTTTTTGATTTTCATTGCCCTTTTATCTTCATTAATGTCCTCACTTTGTGATTGCTGATTTCTATTTCTGCTGCACTCGCCCGCTTTGTCGGCCCACTAAAAGAAGTTGCATTCCTTATTTGGGAACTTAGCGCAACCCCAATAATGTCTCCCTCTATTTTTTCCATTTGCGCATAGCTTCATGGGTGTTGGAAGTTTGCATTTGCACCTAACTTCATATGCATAGCTTCATGGGTGTTGGAAGTTTGCATTTGCACCTAACTTCATATGGGGCACCCTCTACTTTGCTGTTCCATTGCCGCTCCATCAATCTGCAGTGGCTTTGTTGCTACGAATCTGGAAAAAATTGGAAGAATGAAAAATTCTTACCTGGTTGAGATGTTGCAGTCCCCAAGTGAACCTATTTGTTGACTTTTTAAGCTGTTGGTGGCTCATTATATAGGCCCCCAAGTGAACTTTATTGTTGAGCTGTTGCAGCCCCTACTAGCCGTTTACTCTTGTGTTTGTTGAAATCGGTCACTGAGTAATTGTAACTAGCCGTTGTAGTGGCTTTGAGTGATGAAATGTTAATAACTCTGCGGTAACTTCACCACAGGTATGTGTAAACACTCTTTTTTGGCATCTTTCCTATTCTTCGGCTTTGAAACAAACACAACAGGGAAAGCTTTTTTTGATGGTGTTTTCCTTTTCTTTGGTGGTGAACCAATCATGGGTTTTGGATATACTTTCTTAATATTCACTTTATAACTCCATAACAAACACAAGTTATGGATTCCTGGATGATCCAAAAAAAATTTAGGAAATG